TCATAAACGTTCCCTCATTTCTCTCACTTAAAATTCTTAATCTATGATCACTTCAAATTTAAGTTCGGGTAAATCGATTTTGGACAGCCCTCATATAACCATTTCGTAAATCGTAATATAATCCTGTGATATGTAAAGTTAAAATCAGAGTAATACTATTGATCAATCTAATATATTAAACTTTGTATAAATTTATGTTAATGTCAATATCGATATTAATTCAGAAGTAAGCCCTTTCTAAGCTTACAATTGAAACATCTTACAATACAAACTGCTTGGGGGCTGAAATAGGTGGGACAACATCAGTCTCACTGAGGTTGTCTCATCTATTTCAGTCACCAAACACCTGTATGGCTAGGAGACTTTTTACAATCTATCTAAAATTATATAATGTATCAAAACTCAAACACATTGCCTAATTAAACGATTACACGTTACGAATTTCAATAGTAAAAAGAGTTTGTGCAAATGTTTACTTAATTGTACTGTACTGTGCTCATGTACATCTGAATTTAATATATTTAATTAATGAAACTGTATTGTAATGTGTTATGTTTTGATATATGTAATTTCCATAAAAAATTTAAGTTATTCATTCATAAAGTTATGTACCTACTCAGGGTCTAGCCGTTTAACTTTACTACCAATCGCAGGTTCGATTCTCCGCACGTTACCGTGCGTAAAAACATTTTAATTGAATATTATTGGTTATATTGGCCTAGGTATGTACAATGTATAATGTGTATATATTTACAGAAACAAAATATTTTCTATCTATTCTCTAATACTAATAACATAAGCTCTGTTTTGCTTGGAACTAGATGACGCTGTGTGAATTGTATGATTATTGGATTAATATTATTATTATAACTTAATTCCTCAATGTGTATCGTTTGCTGCGAGCCAAAAAACTTTGCGGAAAAACATTCGCCACGCTGTGTGTGGCTTTTATTGTGTTGATAGTTATTACTACCATGACCATTATTTTTTCTATTGCAAGAATAACGCGTGTTGCCAGCCAGCTTCTATTGGTATTTTCGTCTCAACTGGATTTAATAAAATTACGTACACAGATCCCAACTTAGGATGTTATTTATAAGTGAAATATTTTTCCAATTTTGTTTTGGGACGCAAATACATTGTTTTCTAATAAGTTTGCCGAGGCCAATGTACTGTATTATCATGCAGATTAGTTGGGGTTATACCTACGAGTAAACAGAGGAATTAGGTGCTCTATATCTTGGATTATCGAATTGCTTTATAATATAGTTTCGTGGCTCATTTTATTGTATCCAGGGGAAAGGTCAAGACGTTGGTTGATATAGTTGAAATCGGGAAGGTTTCAATAAAGGTTAAAAAGGTACTATATGCCTACTTATTGATTGATTATAATAGCTAGTATTATGAGTGGGTTCACGGGTAGATTTATATATAGAAGCATGGATACATGGTGGCCGGCAACCTTTCTGGAGCGTGTAGTTTGGGGGATTCATGAAAGCCCTATTCCACGGCTATGCCACGGCTTCTGATCGTTAGAAAACTATAGCTGTCACAAATATGGGAACGTATAGTTGGGGGCCTTGATAAACCACCTTTATCACGGCTTCTGTGAGAAAACTATAGTGGTGTTACAAATATGGAGCATAATTGGTAGGTATTTTGTTTACTCCTAACGTAGCTCTGTATGGGTTTCGTTATCGCATTTGTACTAATGTTTAATTTACAGTAGACATTTTAGTTCTCTGGATTGGCCACGTATGAGTGGTATCACTTGAAATGAAATGTAATTATATGTCATAAAAGTGGTACAAATAGAATATGATTATTTTATTGAACCAATCTCGTTCTGACTTTTAGTCTATACAGACATGCAACTATATTAATTATCCTAGTTTTGTACATGATAACGTGATGTCCGATTCATGTATATAGGCGATTACCAATTACCATCAGGTTGTTTGCCATTTATAATTTATGTACGTAAAAAGAAATATAGTAACCACATAACGCTCTGATTCTCTTTACTAAGTTACTTGCGATTCAATACGAACCTATGTATTAGCATAAACCCAATATTGAATGTCTCGGCTACAGCTGACACCTGGCCAGCAATTTTTATAAAATTGTGACCATTTGTGGCTATTGAGGTCATGGATCGGGGTAATGAAGGCTTTTGAGTATATGATGTAAATCCTTGATGACACGTGGTGGTTTCTGGTTTATGTATAAATAATACACGATATTTTAGAATAAAAGTCTTCATTCAAATAAACTTAAAATTAAGTTCTATTTAATAGTTATATTTATTTTATTAATCTATTTCTATGTCTGACAGAAGATTGAGAAAGAAACTTACTAGTCTCTCTTTTAAATGATCCTTCTTATTTTTTTAAGTTCTTTTTTATGTTGAAATATAGAAATACAAACTACCAACTAGCATTAATTTATTAGAGTCAAAATACTAAATACACAATCAATTGGTTAAGTAACTAAATAAGAGGAAATCAGTCGTAGTGACTATTTCTGCCATCAAGCTTTGTCATTATAATATGTAGATTTTTTATGTAATTAGAATGCTAAACAATCGACTGTCTTATATAAGTAATATATACTTAAACTCACATGGACAGCACAATACCGTATCTCGCACTTGGATAAAAAGATTATAAAGCAAACTGTTTGGCGGTTGAGGTACCCACACTGCCGACATTGTACAAAGTCTATCTCAGTATATTTCTATTTAAATTCTAAATAATTTACTCATATTATATTTTTTATCATATGTAGCTTTATAGCTATCTCTACCATTCGAAGTCCGAAGTCAAAAGAAAATAAATACGTATAAATAAACACGAATGAAATAAATTCGATTGATCAATCTAAATGAAATCCTGAGACCGCTGTCAATCATCATCAAGCTGCCAACACGACAAACACCGCCAATTCCATTTCCCGAATAGGAAGTGAGAATATCGGTACGATATTCAACACAATTATGTCTCTAACAATGATGGATGATTGCCGGTGATTAGCCGTTCGAGACGCCAGCTGGCAATTTAGAATTTAGAGATTTATTATTGGAATTGTTTACCAGCTGATTGATACTTGTTACTATTTAAAACATTGGTATAAATTATGTTTGAAATTCTATGTAACGCAGTCTGTCGGATTAATTTGATTTCTTATTGGTGTTTTCATGACAAGAGACTTTATTTGTATGAATGAATTTAATAAGGCACTACTGAAGGATGATAGGAGGCCCAAGAAGTCAGGTCTGATAGCTTATCGCTGCAAATTCATCAGAAATTAACCTTAATGTTTCGGGGCCAATAGTACATTAGTATATTGTTATATGTCATAGTACATTGCTAGCAATGGAGTTATTAGTTCCCATTACTAACAATCTCCGCCATACATCACCGGAGAGTCAGTCAAATATATAAATAGATAATTTTTTTTTCGGTCAGATTCGTACCCACGATCTTTGAGTAAGTCAGAGTACTCGTGGTAATAAACCAGAAGGTCCTAGTTAATTATTTAGTTATATTAGAGATATATAAGTTTATAAAACAAAAAAACAAATGATCGTTTTTTATTTCAAATAAGACCAAATAGTCACTGTCTATATAAATAATTGCATTGATTTTAAACGCTGCTAGAATGCGCCCTAACATTTCGAGTGGGCATTTGATTCCGATCACGCCCGCATTCTGTTCCATTTCCACGTCTCTCTTCGAAATTTTCCTGTTTACCAGTTTCACCACAGAAACAACTTTACATTGAATTGTGTGGCTAGCTTAAATCCCATTTAAACAACGCGGAGGTCTATAAGTCAGTTTTATTTATAACTAAGAATCACAACTAAAACTGCTGGTACTTTATTAAGGGCCATCGCCGACTCATAGCGATGTCTTCTTGATTTGGCGCTTTGGTTGCTATGCGCAACTAAAAAAAAAGATTAAAAAAGTAACTCAACTCTAATTCACTCACACGAGTCACTTATTCGGAGTTTCACTGAAAATCAGGGTCGTGGCTTTAGTTGTGGCATAATGCTGAGATGAGTCCCTTACACACACATCAATTCACAGTGACGCGGTGACGATGATCTATAGTAGTGGATAGGATATGATTTTTGATTTTTTATTATTGTTTTGGTATATATATTTTTTTGTTTGTTTGTTTACCTTCTTGTTATAATTTCATTAGGTATATGTATATTATTGTTTGTTTTACTTTTTTGTTCTTTTTTATGTAATGATTTTAATGCATTGTGTTATTTCTATTCGTATGTTGTAATAATTTATATGCTGCTGTGAGTAACATCATTGTTATGTTGTGACGTAATAAATATTATTCTATTCTATTCCATAATTTGTCACATTTTAACTTATGGAATTAGAATAGTTCGCATATACAAGATATCAAACCAAATGAAGGCTTCTAACCTAAAAACAATTCCAAACTAATGACAACTTTGAAATTTCGATGTCCCAGATGACGTGATGTTCATATTGCTGGACGTATATATGTATATAGGCGTCGCTTTCCAAGTTCATCATGTTGGCTATCAATTCTTTGCCATTGTTTTTGCATTAAAAATATAGATGTACACTTTATACATACGTAAACGGAACGCATTACATGTATAAACGAAATATTTACTACGTAATATTATTTATGAGTTCTCAATATCTCATCTTAATTTAAGACTCGCGCTCTTCTTGGTGGAGCTATTGCCATTTCTCACGAATTTCCATCAATAGGTAATTATCTCTCGGGTTAAATACAGGGAGCTTATAAATAATTATCTTAATATGCTACATACCGTTTGTATATTAACAAATGTAAAGACCGGGAAAAAAAATCACAAATAATGTACGTCACCGATACAGATTAATACTTCAAATTACGGTGAACATAATAGTCAAGGGTTTATCCTGTGGTAACATTAATTTAAATGATAGAAATTATTTTTATAATAATAAAAAAAATTGTTTCAGAACATGGCGGTACGCAGATCAAAGGTGGTTACATGCTACGCTACAAACGTAAGTATACATATTTATTACTAAATAATTGACTAAATGGTTTTGACTGTGGATATGGAATTGACATTAGTATAATTAATAAAAAAAATCCTCTCATCATGTGCCCGTGGTGCCTCTCATGCTTTGTCATTCAGGAGCACTAAGATGCTATGCCTCCGTGTTACCTGTAATTTCACTGCTATATGCTACCAAATAAAATAAATATGTGCATTTATTTTAATAAGTACTTTTGTAAACATTGAGTTTACTTCCATGACAAGTACCTGATTAGATTTGGTAGTTTTTGTAGCATAAAATATACTTTTAAAAGACACAGTGAATTCTCTTCGATTTGTAATTTGAAACTGCTAGAGTCAATAAAAGCATTCCAAAGTATGGTATATTTTATGGACCTATATACCTTAAAGAGGTTTAATAATTTAGATTTGTAACTTTTAATCATGTAAAAGAACGTACTAATTATATAATTAAATTGTAATAAATTTGTCATAAAAATAAATAATTAAATTACAATAAATTTATGAGTAGAGTTTTGTTGTGAGGTTTTTAGGTGAAATTTCAGGTGTAAAAGAGTTCTAACTAGTAGTAACTTAGTAATTTTGAATCAAATGTCGTACAGAACGTAGAATATTCAATTCACAAAAGGGTTTCGAGACATCTGCCATTTATATGTTGCCTGGATGAATCTAAACTTTAACCTACACTTTTGTCACAAAATCCAGCTGAAATTCAACATGGAACTTTACAAAGGTACCATTTTATGCCTTACACTGGAAATGATAGGGTCGTAAATCGGTGGTTCTCATAAGCGTCGCATTTTCATTGGTCCGTAACTCGCAGGCAAGCTGACGCTAAGAATCGTCACTCGAATATATAGTTTGTAAGATCGAGGTGGATCGGCTATACTACTCATATTTTTTTATGAACAAATATGGAGTACACTCGCCTACCCTAACAGTATACGCTATAATAATTGATTAAAAGTGCTTAAATTAAGTTCATTTAAATAAATGATTTTCTATACTATTCTATTTCTGAACGATTTTGGGTACATTGCAAGATATTATGAGCATGGCTCTTACAAAATATGCTTCTATAAAGCGCACAATTATTTATTAACTATTAAACTGCTATAGGTATTCATCACCATTGTATGGAATAACAGGATGAGGATTCACACAATGGAAAGTCAGTCCATTGTGTGAATTTATTAAGAATCAAAATTCACTTTGATTTCCAGGGGGGAAAGGAGGGGACTGTATGTAAAGAGCAACCTGAAATAATATTGCTATCGGTCATTAACCATTACTAACAATCCCCTTTCCTTTTTTTAATACTCCAAGTAGCCATATTTAAAATATAAATAAATGAACTCTCATTAAATAAATTTGTTTGTATTTTCGGTCATCCAAACTAATTAATAAATAATAATATTATATGTTATTATAATATTATATAATACTAATATTAAAATGTAATCTTATTATGGTCAGTCTGGTTATTACGTTTTCAAGATTAAATGGATCTTGATTTGAATTTATTCGATCTATCATATGCTACAAAATTTTATAAGGGGAAAACATTTCTGTGTAGCCAATTATCTTTAAATCCATATATACAATAATGCTTCCTTCTAATTAGTGGTTATGTGTAATTTGGGAAACGTGCGTTTGTTGGCAAATAAAACGTAATCGTGGCCGTTCGGTCTTAATAGATTTATGCAATTTAGTGGGGCATAAAGTGAGTGACTATCGTAAAGACTGCGTTTGTCTTTACGTATAATGGAATGGGGAGTTAACAATTTCTTTTTAAGGTTTCGTTCGCTAGTTTTGTGTAACTATCTATCTACTTCTTTCGAAATCGTCCAGATGTTTAAATGAGATTGGGTAACAAGAATTGAAACATTCTTGCAAGTTTTAACATTTACAGTATTAGATCTATATTGTGTTTTTTTAATGAATTAATATAGAATAATGCACCCTCCTGCGCTAACGGTATACGCTAGCGGGGTACCAATAGAGGATAATAGAAATAACGTTAGGTTAGTTAGCCTATAGTGGTTAAGAATTCATCACGATGGTTTCCAGGATGAGCAGCGTGGAGGTCGACCTGTCTGCGTTGGCAATTGGAGCGTATATTGTATTTTTAATATCGGCTTAGATTCGCTAATTAAAATATGTTTGAACAAAATAATGGTTAGTGTTTCCGTCATACTCGAGAACTGTTATAAGTAGGGCTTAATAGTAAATAAGAATAAATATATTTTTATTTCTATCCTTTCTTATATAAATTGTATTGTTTTCAGGCAAATACCTGTGGAACTCGTGGTCAGAGGAATGGGTGGTGTTGTACGACGACTCAACCATGGCGTGGTTTAAGGTGAGATGAACAGACGAACATAATTATTTTTCTATGTATATATCTAACCTATATCATTTTATGGAGGGCTGTAAGAAATCTCTTTTTAGGGATAAGTCTTCACATATTATTACTACTTGACCAGCGTAACATCAAATGCGTTACATTTTGATCGTAGCGTGATGTCATGTTATATGTATAGCCTTTTTGGATGGATGAACTATATAACACTATTTTTTTTAATTTCTAGCATTTCTTGAGATCGTTAATAAATAAACTCTCCACATTACTAGAAGATAGACTATTAGTAAAGATATGTATAATATTCAATCGTATTGGTTTAAATATTCTGTAATATATACTGGTTGTGATTAATTATAGTAATATCCCTGAACAATTCCGATAAGTCCATCTAGTCTCAAGCTAAGCAGAGCTTGTGTTATGGATATGTACATAGGTAGACAACTGATATAAATACTCAAGAGTTTTTTTTAAATACATACATAATATACATAGAAAAATACCCAGACCGATACAAACAATAATACTCATAAATACAAATGTTTGTACCGTGCGAGGATTCGAACCCATGACCATCAAAAGTAAAACGGTGTGCTAAACGATAGACCACCGAGGTCATCGAATTTGAATTTGTATGTGTGTACTAAGATACAAATAAAATTCTATCTGTATCATGTTCTTTGTTAATGAAATTTTACGTAAAGATAGCTTGTGTTATGAGGACAACCTTTCACGAGTATCTCAAAAAATAATCTGGAAGCTTGTGAAACAGATAAAAGATTATGTAGAAGAAGTCGCGAATAACAACTAGTATATAATAAAAAGTGGACATCCAGCACGATTTGGCAGAAGCGTATTTTTCTCCTATTTGTTATTCAAATGTTGATATACATATAACGAGGAATTTTTAGTGTTCACTTTATACCAGTTTTATGAGTTTTCATTCCACATTTCCGAGTAAAGTATCGTTTAAGATTCAAACATAGACTGCAAAAGTTATGATATCACCCATAATAAATCTAATCCAACCAATCCAAACTGCAATAGAAGACTTCGAGACTTGATAAGCGTGCCTCAGGTTCTAACATAAACCAAACTCCAGGCAATTGTTTTCCGTCTACTAGTAAATCCTTGTCAATATATTTCGCGAATTCCCAGGGCAATTTCTCAGTGTATACACACATAATATATTTATATATATATATACACAATATAACCAGGCCCGTGTTTAACTATTAGGCAGCGTAGACAACTGCTTGTGCCCTGTAGTAGACAAATTCTTCTTCTTCAGTCGTTCACTCTTGGCAGAGTGGTCGTGGCTTTCATGATGGTATATTTTGTGATATGGTATCGTTGTGGTCCTTGGCGAAAGACCTCCTTACAATTTGCCTCGAGTAGACATTTGCATATGAAAATTAAAAAAAAATAAAACTGGAAATTGAGTTCATACTTACAGAACAGAACCATAAAGTAATTTAGTAGAATTATGTAATGTTATCTTACCTGTGGTAAAACTAATAATACGGATGCGTTACTCAGTGTACTTTACATAGAGTAAATATATTATTTGACTTTATCTTACATTCATTTATCAAGTTGAAAAGAGCTAATGTTCTTCAAAGGTTTAAAAAAATTTGTATATTTTATAAATATATATGCCGATGTATGATTACACAGCATTGACGATTGACGGGCTCTACTACTTTCGGCTCCGACATAGTTAATTCGGCTTTATAACATTGAGCTCGTCAACCTAGTGGACTCATAGACTTCGAACGTTATGTATTTTAATTTAACCTAGAAAATAAAATGCATTTCATATTAACATTTACACAATGTTAACATGAAATGCATCCACATTTATTGTGCATGTAGAGCCTAATCTACTGTCAAGCCCAAGCTCCTATCAAAATGGCAGAAGCTACCTGGTATCTTCACAGGTTTTAACGCGTATAAATTTATATTTTTAACTCACACCGGTAATGGAAACATCGATAAGAAACGAAATTAATACATGAAAAGGCGCGGCGGTAGGGTCGCTTCCCGCTGTGTTGGATTAAAAATATGCTCAACGAAAAAAATATATATGAAGTTTTACGCCTTCTCATTTTGTAAGAAGAGGTAAACTCTCTGATTTCAGGGTGAGAAGGCGTAAAACTTGATATATCTATTTTTCAATTTTCAATATTGATAAAAAATACATATAGATTTAATTGTTACAGATATTTTATTTATTTATTTCTATCTCTAAATCTATACTTTAATACTAAGTAAATAGTCTTTCGGGCAAAGTCACATCGCGCATGTAATAGTATAAAATACGTATAAATTTATGTAACAAAGATAGCCTGTTTGTTTGTTTCATTTTCACGATTACACAGACAGGTCTTAATGACATTTGGCATGAATATATATTGTATGTACCTACATTTTTAATATCTACTCATGCTAGTCTTAACTTCGATATACAGCTATGACACGCTTGTCATCGTACTGCGACTGCGCGCCGTGCAATATTGTGCATCTGTGGCGCATTACGTTTGCGCGGGAAAATAAAAAGACTACAAAAATGGCTTCTTAAGCAGACATACTAATTCTCTTGTGTTCTTAATTCTTAATTATTTTATACTGTTCTACATAACTTTGTATACCTGTAATTTACTTTTCTTATAATAAAATACCGATATACACAACAAACCTATATTTCGAGAACGGACATACGCTATCCTGTATTTAAAAAAACACAGACAAAGTAGTTTTTAATGAAATTTGACATGAACATAGTTTTCTAAAAATAATCTGTGATATTTGTATGTAATAGGGGATGAAAATCTAGCTAGTTTCATATAAATGAAGTGCCTGCCTCGTCTATGTCTATTTGTGTCTGTTAGACAGAATACGCACGCTCCTTCACGTGTCACAGTCAATCAGTTTAATTAATATCTTCTCTAGTTGGTACATGTCAGTGTTACTCAATGTGAATATTGTATGGGTGCGTGGTACGCAAGTATACAATCCTAACTATCATTATAAAATATCGTACACTTATAGTTTATATAGAGAAGGAGTGCAAGTACTAATATTTTAATGCATAAAAACATACATTAAATAAAGAAAACATTACACATAGTACCTATTTCATACACACGTATAAATGCTATTTTGTTTATTGTGAAAATTTGAGGTTATATTGAGAATACTTTAATATTATTTGTCTATAGTCTTAATTAATGTTATATTAATTATTTTATAATTGCGACCACTGGGTGACTACTAGTTATTATAAAAGTGTGAAAGTTTGTCTATTTGTTACATTTTCACCACTAAATAGCTTAAAGCATACTAGCTAAGAAGGGGAATGTTTTACTAAACCGCTTCATATAGTTTCGCTTAATATGTAAAAGACGAAAGAGAGTTTATACTTCTTTACAAAATAAAGTATCCGGTAAAAGTCAGTAATATAATTAAGCAGTAGATCCTACGGTTTTATCCGCTGTGTAATTAATAAGAATTGGCGGCCTTCATGGTTCGCCACCTACAAGCACTACATCGCGGTACCCGCACTATGTAATATAATGTTATCTGTGCCCGCACAAAAGTCAGGCAATGCTAAATGAAGTAGTGTAGTTTTTGCGCAGATCCTAAGGAGCGTAGCGTGATATTAATATGTAAAAAATATTTATTTTAATTCGACTGGTAGTTCTGGTAGCGTGTTCAAACAAACAAACTCTTGAGTTTTACGTATTAGCATAGATAAGATTATATCACAGATAATATAATATTACATAATTATATTATATAGATACTATTAGTATAGATAAATAAATGGTGCAGTAGTAAACCTTACAAAATACAAATGTTTATCAAAAACCACGCAAAAACCATGTTCACTTGTCAATATCGATTCTTCTAAATAAAAGTTGTTGCCTAATAAGTTTTGAAATTTCCTTTAATTACTGTGAAACATTAATTAATTTAAAACTTTGTACCTAATTGCATTTCGCTTATTTCCTCAACTCATTAGATACTTTTTGACTTTGATATACCTTTATTATCTAGACATAATTAAATTCAAAATCTTGTTAAAATCTGTGATAATTTATTAAACCAATGTAGTAGAATATACAAAATATTGGCAGCACTTGAGCGATACACTTACATACTCAAACTGGTTAAAATTCATTAACTAGTCTTTGATTGACTTTTTATGTAAAAGGTTAGGTTATTTGCTTAGGATATGATCTGTTCTTGCAAAACTGCAATGACCGTTTAGACGTATGTAGTAATGTGGACTAATAACTCCTTTGCTAGCAATGAACTACGTCAGATTGCATCGTGATAAATTTCTTGTGAATTTGCCGCTTTGGACTAAGTGGTTTGACTTTATGCTTATCTTATTATCCTCCACTTGTGGCCTCTAGCGTAAATCGTTAGCGTAGGCGGGAGTACCATTTCATTATTAGGTATTCATTAAAACTCGCTACTTCTGCTGATTTTTTTTATATAAAAGATGACCTATGTCCATTCTTATGGTATGATCTGGCTCCATTCCACACACCAATAACATCTGCTCTTCTGTTTAGAAGAACAAAAAGATAGACACAATTTCGTATTTATAATACTAGTGTGATCATGTGGTCATCTATATTTGTTTGTTACTTATATATTACTTTATATTATATATTACTTATTAAGCAATAACTAAATAATAAATAATTACAACAGACAGCGTCGGTGGTCTAGTGGTTTAGCACACCGCTTTACTATCCGATGGTCGTGGGTTCGATTCCGCACACGGTATAAACATGTGTATTCATGAGTATGATTGTTTGTATCGGTCTGGGTGTTTTCTATGTATAATATGTATTTATTTAAAAAACAATGTATCCATGTATTTATATCAGTTGTCTAGTACCCATAACACAAGCTCTGCTTAGCTTGGGACTAGATGGCGCTGTGTGAATTGTCCTGAAATATTATTATTATTATTATCATCAAAA